TTGCACTTCTTCTCTGTGAAGTGAGCGAAGCCGACGTGACGTGACGCGAGCAAGAAGAGGCAAGATGTCGGCATTATAGATAAGGCATTACCGTGGATCGGGTGACTCGAAAACTTATAGGCGCTTATAGGCGCTTACATATTAAGAATTTGAAGCCTCTCAAGAACGTTCTTGTTACATTACGGCTTGACCTGACCCGATTTGTGGAATTATGCGACAGTATCATGCCTGTCTCAACATAGACCGGTAGGGTTTTCTGCGAAATCGAAGATATAATAAGTCTCGTAACTTATCGTTGCATAACGGAGAAGATGACGGATACGACGAATGATGATTGAACAATTTAACAGAATTAACTGTCGCTGCGATCGTAAAAATTATTTAATTTATGTTAATTAAAAGCACTACATTGGAAGAAAAAAAATTTAGTATAATAACTAAATCGAGCTCTCGATCATAATTATTTTTTAATACAAAGTGTCTTAAAAGACCACAATAGCTACACAACGAATCGTTTAGAACCTTTATTTCCAATTTATTACATATTATTTTATCATTGTAATCACAAATATCAAATACTTTTCTCTTACTGTATAATTGAGTCGATAAATTGAATAAAACGACCACTAGACATTCAATACTATACAATTATTTTGTAGAATATTGATGCCTTTAAACAATTCAAAAGAAACAGTTTGCATTCTCAATATGGCTTCCAGTCAATCAATAATATTGCAATATCAAATATTATTCAATAATATTGATCATCTAGGAATCGTTTAAGACCCACTATCGGCTTCAGAGAGTTAATGTATCAGTATAGATATTTATACACTTAAATGAAGACGTCGAGCGAGGCATCGAACTATCGCGCCAGTGGCTTATCTATTATTATTATTATTATTAATCCGCAAAGAAATAAACATTTGCGAGAGGAGCGGCCCGAAAGATCATCGTCTACCTCTCTCAAGGGCCTCTACATAAACTTCCTCTCGTCTAACAGTTACGATCTCGCATTCGCGACAACGCGATCGCACGTACGCGCTTCGTAAACACGTACGGCGCATAAATTACTCGCCCCTACGCTTTGCATACGTTACATTATATACGGCGTAAGTAAGTAAGTAAGTAAGCAAGCAAGCGTACACACATTCTCTCTGTACGCCGTCACGCATATAAACGCTCCCATCGATTGTACGATATGGCATGGCTCGCTTTCACAGATCGTAACGATCGCCGCGACTATCCGCGTCCGTCCGGTGTTGCGTGGTCAGCCACGCGCTATAATCGTATCTGGACGCGTTGGATTTCAAAGGAGTAATGGCAACGCAAGCTCTTGAATGATATTTTTAAATGATATTTTCTTAGTTTTAACTTCCGTGTGTCAAAATGTAAATCCGATTCATTTCCGTGATTAGTTTTAAAATAAACAGTATTTATATTTATTAATGTGTACACTCGGAGAGAAATGATGGTTGGTTGAATTAACTGAGATTCTAATGGAAAATGAATAACTCAGAATTCTGGTTAAATTTAGAATAGAATTCTAGTAGACTTAACGAATTCTGGATCGTTCATTTTTTTTCAGAATTCCAATCATCAATTAATTTAATCAAATATTTGTTTACGTGCATTTACACCGAGAGAAAAATGTACTAAATTTTAATAAAGAATTCTTTGAATAATAGTAATATAACGTTGATTTATGGAAAATAAATATTTGCAGAATAAAAAGATATAGTTAAATTGAATTAATGGTTCTTACCAAATAAATATAGGTACGTTTATATTTAGTGAATATTCTATCATTATTCAAACAAATATTTGTTAAAATTTAGTACATTTTTTCTTAGTGTAAATAATAAACTAAATTTGTGTGACTCAAATTGTTTAACTTTGTTTTAATCAAATTAATGATGTGTACAAGTAGCAGCAGTGACGATCCATAGAAATGATTAAAAATGATTCAAATTGGATTTAATTTCACGGTATGAATTTAAAGGGAAGGCGCGACGCATTTTTTCTTCCCTCCTCCTCCTCTCTTCCCGCGGCTTGTATAGATCACTGCCGTCGTAAATCACGTGAATAACGGTACTACTTGTCGACTTGTTTGCCGTTGCTTCGTAACTAATGCCCTCCCACGCATCGTCGGTTATATGGTTCGACTTTCTTCACGGTTGCAAGGAGTGTTCGTCTCTTCTCTCCAACGCTCGGCGAGAAGAACACTTTTCGCGCGGCTGAGTATTTTAACGTTTAACTTTCGCACGAATTAATGCACTGCAGGAGATCTCGGAGGTATGAATACAAGGTGTGGCACATCCAGGCGTGATGCATATAGACGAACGAAAAATTTGCAATTGTTATCCTAGCCGCGAGTTGTATGTCTTTAGTTTTGAATCTCGTATTTTGTAGAGAAATTTCTGTGATACGCCTGTATGTAGTAACGTAAATATATGTATAAGTCAAAGGTCGTAATATAATAATCATCGTTGTACGTACATTATATTGACTAGAATATGTGAGGATATATATACAGGATACTAAGAGTGATATTTATAGTTGAATCTTTTATTTAGGACCATCTTAAGTACAGTCGTTAGATGTACCAGTGGATTTTATATTGAACTAAAAATACCGTTAAAAAAATGTTACAAAATGGTAATAATAACGTAAAATATACTAATTTTTGCATAAAAATAATTAAAGTTATTTATGTTATTACAATTTTGTTAATAATATTTTTTCTGATGGTCTATTTTCAAATAAAATATCGTAATATAATCTGATAATGAATCAAAGAAAGAATTATTTTTTTAATGATAAACGACTTACCTTTCAATGCGATGTAAAGAGAAGAACAAGAAAAGAGAATTTATCAGATATATCAGATAAGAACCTGATTTACGAACTAAAAAAGCAATTGGACTATATCTAATTTTTAATCTAATTCAATTGGACGTTTTAAGCAGGCGTCCTTCGAAAGAAATATTGATCGTCGATACGAGTATTGCGCGTCAAGCAGCGGAATGCATGTTATTTCCTCTAGGTAGAATTTTATATTTTTTTTATAGACTTGGATATATAAATATTGTGCGTGCGTGCGTGTGTGTGTGTGTGTGTGTGTGTGTGTGTGTGTGTGTGTGTGTGTGTGGGTGTGTGTGTGTCCCGAAAGTTTTTGCCAATTAATTACTAATAAAAAAAATAAATAAAATTGCCAAATATTGGTCTTGAATAATTTTTTACTCAAATACTATCAATTTAAAAAAAAACTGCAAGAGACAAAAATCATTTATTTTCTTCTCATAGAACTCTAAGAATTTTTTTGAAATTTTTTATCAACTTTTTAGTACTGCATTTTCTTATTTTTATCATAAAAAAATACGATATTAAAAAATTTTGAAAAAATTCTGAAAAAATTCTTTATGAGAAGAAAATAAATGATTTTTGTCTCTTGCAGCTTTTCTATAGAGTTAATAGTATTTGAGTAAAAAATTATTCAAGACCAATATTTAGCAATTTTTAGTAATTAATATCTTGTTAACTATTGCGAAAATTGCAAAATAGTAAAGGACTTTTCGATTCAGTTTAGTCTACTCTATCTACATAAAAGCGATTGGAAAAAATTTTCGGCACTCTTATATATATATATATAAGATAAATAACATAAAATACTATGCACATATAAGAAATAGTGTAAAAAGAAGAGATAAAAATTATAGTGTGTTTATGCACATACATTTTTAAAAATTAAATATAAAGAAAGATATATAATAATATTTTTTAAAAAATTGTAATATATACATATATTTAGTATTTTTTCCTATCACTTGTTCTTCTTGCACTTAAGTTAAATTACTTAACTTTTCCTAATTGATCAAAGTTATAATATATTTTTACATGACGATGTTGCTTTCTTTAATTTTCGCACTTTTGTCTGTAGTTGCTTGGAAAAGTATCTTGAAGTATGTTAAGAAAACATATTGTCAAAAGACTTATTGGCAAAATGGCAAATGTCCTCCTTCCTCGATCCGTTAGAAAGTTAGTTGTACAAATATAATATGCATGCTCGAAAGAAAAGACCCAAGAATTACCAGTCTACGCAATTTTACGCACACACGCATAATGTAACGAAACATTTATCCGAATACATAGTTCATTGTTAACTATGTAAATCGTGGGCAATAATAGTAATCGATCGTGTAAACACAATTTCTCGAGGACGTTGTGCGCGAATGCGTACCAAATCGTTTTTCAACAACAGAGTGATATTTCACACGTGACGTTTTCGCATATCCAATTGTAATTACAAGGCCACTCGGCGCGGCGGTGCAAAACATCGAGATCGCTAGGCGTTGGCCTCGTCTCAGATTGGCATCGTCTAGGAAAGTTCAGACATGAATGAATGTAGAAATAGTGTAGCGTACGCTGTAGTAGTTTTTTTCCAGTTTTCGATGTGGAAACAATCAATCTGAGATTCAACTCGCTGACAGTTCTTCCGAAGAGCAAGACTGAGACAGCGAAGTGTCAAAAGTGTTCCCCGATGAACAATAGCCCGACAATTTTCGCATTTGGTCGTTACTTTTAAGTGGACTTAATTAAGCTTCATTTGCGATATACGTGGAAGCTAACAGAGCTTCGAGCTGTTAGCCTTGACCCAGTCTCGTGTCTTCGACCAGTCTCCTCTTCCCCACTTCCACGTTCCACCACGCGCTTTAAAACTTGAACCTTAGACGACGCTTATCGAAGACGAAGATATGCAGCATAAAAATATCGGCTAATCCACGTTAGATTGTTTCCTCTTATCAATAATGATCGTGAACGAATCGATTATTAGATCTTAACGTGAGTATCTCTTTTTATATCCTCAAGTTATTCCACGTAAATATTTGAAATTGATTGTACGACAAAAATGAGGAAAAGATTGTTTAAGACACTTTTATTTGTTTACTATACGCTTTATATTGTACTTGTAATGACATATACAGGAACATTCTGTTATCTCATTCAGTATCCTCTTCACAGTAATCCCATTCGTCCTCACGAGATTGAATATTGCAACCTGGATTTCTACGTGGATTCGTAGTTACTACATCGGGTTTTTTGATACCTAGAGTGGTCAGCATTCCTGGCGGATTTATAACAGGGATTTGTGTTAATCAATGAACGCCTACGTTATATAAAAATTTTGTGAATTATTGTGACAGTGATAATACTTTGATCTCTTAAAGTTATAATTATTTGGAATAGAATGCCGTTTAAATGTGATATTTTTCATTCAACTTTACACATAACTCTTATGGAATTGTTAAATATTCACGAGAACTTAACGAACCAGAAACAAAGTGGGATAAACAAAATGATATAAACACCTGGGAGAAATAAACTGTTTATTATATCACTTATTTATCAATAAGTTGACCTACATATTTGATACATATTTGATACATATTTTCATACACATGCTTGTTGTGGAATAACCACTCAATGCTTGAATAGTTTTCAATGGAATGTTGTATTATTCTTTTAGTAGAATATCTTTCAATTGCTTATATGTAAATGATGGAGGTAATAAATGATATTGAAGGCAATAAATGATATTGGAAGAGGAAATTTTCTATTTTTCAAAATTGCCTTTCTGTTCTCCAAAACATTTTTCCTGACCAATGCCTAATTTAAATATTATTCATACATTGAAGAGCAGAAACACATTTTTTCTTCTAATATCTTTTAAGACTTTTAAACAATTAGAAGATGTTCTGCTAAAAGAATGATATGATATATTGCACTATATTAGCAATTGCTATATATTATTTAAGCATGTGTGACTCTATTCCAACAAGGATAGAATCTGTAATTAACGGTAAGCCAACTTCTATTAATAAAACAAGTAGATAGTATATTTTTTCATATTATTTTGTCTATTCTTTGTAGATTTTGAATATGTAATTATATCATTATATATTATATGCTATTTTGAGAGGCACATAGAATATTATATGCTTGAGACCTTTAAATTTTTCCATTATATTAATTTTATCCTGCTCCTCTTTCTCCTTCATCGCTGGCTTCTTTACGTTCTGATAGATCGTGTATCCGATACCGAAGACGTGATTAAATACAAATTGAGCAGTGCAGAGCACCATAACCACGAGAATGGGCAGGCAGAGACTGGTCTCGAAGTCGTCAAGAAACAAGTTCACTGATTCCGGTAGCAGGTCAGTAGACATTCTCGCGTGAAAGTCTCGTTCCCTGTAGTTTAACCTTTATATTTTGATTTTGCGATATTGAAAATAACTGTCGACCGTACGAAGATCATTATCGTCCTTTCGTCTTCATTACGTCGTGAAGCTACTCGATTTTGTAATTTTTATATGTATCTCCTCGAAAATGGACCTGTCAATTTCGTTATGAGGTCTTCGTCTCACTCTCATATGTTCGCCGTTTGATAATGTGAATTTGGCGGCAATGCAGCATGTTTTCTACAGGTATGATAAGAGAATAAATAAAACGTTAAATAGATCGTTAATTAATTAATCTTTACCGCATGAACGGTAATAAAGATATTAATTAATAGACGGATTGATGAATTTTTGTTTATTTTCTGCCGTATACACACATAAATTAATATTTTTAATAGAAGATTAAATAAAAAATAAGCATTTTTTAAATAATGAAAGAAAATCGTTATTAAATCTAATATATTTTTATGGAAAAACGACATTTGTTAACACATTGCTTACATGGACAAGTATCACAACTCTGATAAGGAATAAAATGTACACTATAATAAAATTGCAGTACATACACCAGAAAAGTCTAAATTATGTCACAGAGACAGCCTAAAGATATCTGTAGGATGATAAAAGCTTTATTTTGTTTATTTTTCATCAATATACAAAATGGGTAAAAAAAGTAATAAATAATAACATAAAACTTCTTTTTCCTTTTTTTATTTATAGATGAATGTTTATTTATAGATGAAAAAATACAATTTTAACTTTCAATAATTGCAGTAAAACAAAAACGATTTGACTGAGGAAGCCATGAGATCATATCCAACCTCGATTTCATTGAAGGGTTAAAACATTGTCCCATTCAAGATTTAAAAAATAAAATTTTTACGGAAAAGCTATTCATTTTGACACGGTTTTCTACAAAAGTATAATACTATTAATAATAATAATAATAATACTCTTATTATAATACTATTATACTATTAATAATAATAATTCTGTAGAATTGATTCCTTTCATTATTTCGAAAATTTTTATTTGTGTCACTTTTCAACGCAACGATATAATAAAACATGTTTATTTACATTGGTAACATCATCACGTCATCATTATCCATAGAAAGATTCAATTTTAATGTTGTTTGTGTATCATTGAAGAAACTGTCTTCGTTAAAGTCACCGCCCTCGATTTGTCGAAAAATCTTCGCCTCTTTCGACCGCGCAGTCATCTTCGCTATATCACTCGGAGTTGATTGAGACGGTAGAGTGATGTCAAATTCTCCCTCGGATAAGCAATAATCGTGATATTCGATCGATTGAGAAGCGTTAAAGGATGGAGAAGCCGCTACCGATGAATTTGCAGTAAAACTCGATCCTAGATTTGCTTCACAAAATTGCAATGTTATTTTTGGAGTGCTCGCCGTGAACGACGTGCAAACGTAAAATCGCGGATCGTTCAGTAAAGAAAAGTCTGGATTAGCGGTCGATGGACTTCTATTGACTGTCTCTGGCAATGAAAGTGCCTTTTGATTTAGTATAACGTCATGTATCGACTCGTCTGCCTTCCGATTGTCATTTTCAATGATTTCCATCGGCTCATCTTGGACTTTGTTTTCAATCACCTTTTGTTCATCTTTATTCATCGGTACTAGTAACAAGGATACGACGTCTTCTGTCCTCGTCAAATTATTATTCGACGCAACAACAAGATTTTTTTCTTCTTCACATTTCTCTTGTTCTCTACATTCCTGCACGACGTTGGGGGATTTTACTTGAACTTGCGCAGCTCTTTTCGTTTGCTTGCTTAGATCCAATTGTTTCATGATACTTATTATATTTGCGAAAGTGAAACGATTATTTTCCAATAGTGCGCGTAGCTGAACGATCGCATTGTAACATGATTTTTCCCATGATGGAGAAGTCGTGATGGATCGAAAATTATTCTAAAAAAGTAAAATATTCGAATAATGTTTAATAATCACATGTGTTCAGTAATTTCATGAACATTTATATTTTATTTATAGACTCACATTTTGTATATTGACGGATTGTTGGGACGCGTATTCTCGCGCTTTAATTGTAACACATTTTGGTAGAGAGGATACTTCCGCTAGAGCGATCCCATAGTGATCTGTAGGTCCTCTTCCGGGATTCAATTTGTGAGTATATATTAGATGCAGATCGTTCGATTCTTCCGACTCCGCAGTTTTCGTCTCGAAACAATGGCTGAAAGGCAATAATAGAAATATCTTATTTCTATTATAGAGTAGTCCAGAATAATCGCCAAATATTTCATGTGCTGATAGAGTGGACTAAACTGTCTCGAAGAAATACTATTTTGCAATTTTCGCAATAATTAACAAGGTATTAATTACTAAAAATTGCTAAATATTGGCCTTGAATAACTTTTTACTCAAATACTATCAACTTTACTGAAAAACAGCAAATGACAAAAATTGTTAATTTTCTTCTCATAGAGTGTTAAGAATTTTTTTCAGAATTTTTTAGTATCACATTTTCTCATGTTGGTCAAAATAGTTGCCAATACATACAGGATGAATCGGAGTCGTTGAACCAGCTTTTTATCCTATGAGAAAATAATTGATTGCACACGTTATAATTCAATTAGGTATGAAGTCGATAATCTTTTCATAGGGTAAAAAATTCAACGACTCTGATTCACCCTCTATATAAGAAACTAAATGCAGAACTAAATAGTTGATAAAAAATTTGAAAAAATTCTTAGAGCTCTGTGATAAGAAAATCAAATAAAATTAAGTAAAAAATTATTGAAGTCTAATATTCGTCGATTTTTAGTAATTAATATCTTGATTATTACGAAAATTGCAAAATGGGAACAGGACTTTTCGACTCAGTTTAGTCCGTTCTACCAGCACAAATATTTGGTGGTTATTCTGAGACACCCTATATATATACAGGATGATTTTAACATATTTCGTCATGAGCAGATAAAGTGAATCGAACTGAATCGAAAAGTCATTTACCATTTTGCAGTTTACGCAATAGTTAACGAGATATTAATTATTAAAAATTGCCAAATTGTTGATCTTGAATAATTTTTTACTCAAATACTATCAACTTTATAGAAAAACTGCAAAAGACAAAAATCATTTATTTTCTTCTCATAAAGTTCTGAAAATTTTTTCAGAATTTTTTAATATCGTATTTTCTCATGTTGGTAAAAATAAGAAAATGCAGTACTAAAAAGTTGATAAAAAATTCTGAAAAAATTTGTAGAGTTCTATGAGAAGAAAATAAATGATTTTTGTCTTTTGCAGTTTTTCTATAAAGTTGATAGTATTTGAGTAAAAAATTCAAGACCAATATTTGGCAATTTAATTAATATTTTGTTAACTATTGCGAAAATTGCAAAATGGTACAGGACTTTTCGACTCAGTTCGATTCGCTCTACCTGCTCATGATGGGTGATGAAATATGTTAAAATCACTCTGTATATATTAGGTGTTGGAATTAATTCGTAGCGTTTTATATGTTCCTGCACGATTTTCACATACGATGTTACATTATGATACATATTGCTCAGTGCGGTAAGATGTAAAAAGTGCGTCGCGGCGAACGTGAATGCGGTCGTCAGCGATAATTTCTCGCATATCGCCCAAGCGATGGCGGAACCCTCCTCGACTGTAGTATGCCTGCAAAGCTCGTCAAGTATGACGAGAGACTTGGGCGTGACGGATTGCAGGATGTATTGTGCCTCCTTCATCTGAAACAATCAAATCATCAGTAATTACGTTTAATCGCCGCTCTGCAAATCATCAGTACAATTAGATGTCAACAGTTTTGCATTAGAAGTACTGGTTCTTGTTAAACGTTTAAAGTCGAGTAACGTTAGGAATGGTCATAGTATCTGATCACTTTAGTGAGAAATGATTTTTATAAAAAATATTTCGAAAATAAAAGTTGTTTGGTTTAAAGAGAGACAAATAATGGTAAAATTAATATTCGAACAAAACAATTTTTTGAGGTCATGCTATTTTTTAAATGGAATTATATAATTTTCATGCATAAATGATTCTTTTATTTAATTTGCGTAAAAATCTTAAGGTGAAAATATCGAGAACTAAAATAATTTACAAAATATTTTACACTTTATTCTATATATATTTTGATGTAAAGTATAAAATATCTCGCTCACCTCGAGAACGTAGGCGGATGCATTGAGCTCGGCGTCATCGCGAGAGCTAATCCTACAAAGTATGCGATCCGCAACGCGGAACGTTGCTTTCGATGCCGGTACATAGGAACCGATCTGCAATGAGATTCGAGTAATGGGTACGAGATACCGATATGTCGGCTCATTACCTAGTTTTACGAAACGCTTTTATCAAGCAAAAATTCTATCTGGTCGAATATTATATACATACACGTGATTACGCTACAGATGGAATGATTCTTTTACAGAAATTTCAATTTTATTACATATTACATAATAATGAATATTTTATGTAATTAATGTAATGATGCAAGACAAATGCGAAGGGAGTCAATTAGTAAATGTATCATTTGTGTTACCTGCGCCATGATTTGAAGTAGAACGATCTGCTTTAAATACGTAGACTTGCCGCTCATATTCGGTCCAGTTATCAGGTGAAAATTATGCGTAATCGAAGCGTTCTGCGAGTTTCAACATAAAATAAGAAAATATCATATATTTTCTCAAGATATACAAGTTGTTTAACGTTCAACTTACCACGTCGTTAGCCACGGGAAGATCTCTGTTAAATAATTCCATAATGGGGTGTAACGAGTTTATTAATTCTAATTTCGCTCCAAATGACGGTCTCACGTATTCTGGATTAGAACTGATTTGCGCCAACGATAAAATTAAATCCAACTCCGCCACATCAGCGCTTAATTGAAATAAGCAGCCGACGTGTTGTCGAATGTCCTCCAGTAAATTGGTCAACAATCTACGAATTATTATCTGATTAATTCTTAGTACACATAGTTAGATCATTCGTGTCCATCACATTCGTTTTCTTTAAAATATTAAGCATCTGGTTAAATAATGTATGTACTTGGTTCTATCCTTTTCTTTTTTTTAATACAATTTTATAAAGATATTAAAGATGTTATATGAAGAATCATTTAATAATTTTTGTATACTTACAAAATTAACAAAAATTAATTTAGAATATGAACGACCTATCATATATACAGTGAAGGATAAAAAAATTATCATGCTGAGAGAAAAACTTTTGATATTTGTGATTATATAATTATAGAGGTTACCATATCAAATATAATTGTCTCAAAAATGGACTTTAAATTATAATTAAATTATAGTAATTTTAACTTTTTTTATGATAATAGTAACTATAATCATTTTTTTGTGGTAACTTCATGCACGTATATATTTATTAATAAAACTATATATATAGTTATTAACATTATAGTAACAATAAGCATATAATAATTGTGGTAACATGTAATTATAGATCAGTATTTATAATCGATTCTTATAGTTAAGACTGTCTTAATTAATTACAGTTTTAAGATGTCACGAACCAATCAGAAAGTCGTATTAGTATCTTAAGAAATATACTTAAAGATGATCTTAAAATAAGAACGGCCTATGAATATCGGCCATAGACACAAATACCAAAAACTTTTCTCTCAATGTGTACACTATATAAGCGTTAATATGATGATATAAGCTTTTGCAGAGTAACTTACGTGTTACTCATCATGTAAATCTCCTCGCAAGCGTTTTTGCATTGTTTATTCAATGTTAATAGCGCCGTTGTTGTCATTGTGATGGACCTTCTGTTCTTTCGTGCCTGCATAATCACGAAAAGTAATAGAGGCTATTATTCGTTCCGCGTTGATTAGCAATAAGTTACCTGAATAAATTCCACCGGTAAGTCCGAGATTGTCATGTTTGAACCTCTTGGTATGACAACATTTATATGGTAACCCAAATTTATGCTGTATTCTAAGGATAATGGAAGCTTGTGTTTCACAGCTAACTGTTCCACCATATCTAATTTAAATAGAGTCCAAAATTTTCAGTAATTTTCGTCATTTAGAGTTTCATACGGTATTAAATATATTGTTGTAATATGTTTATACTTTTCATGTCGCTGATCAACTCGCAATAAATTTGGCGAGCGACATCCAATAACTGGTTGATATCAGCTTTTATAGCGAAACACCGCTGCATACTCAAGGAAGTGCATCCCTTCACGAATCTCGCGTCCATATGTATCAGTGTTAAAATTTTATCCTTCATAACTTGAAATTCTGAGTTTCTTAAGTTCTGCAAGCATGGAACCATTGGTTGCGTGATCAACGTGAATGAATCACGAACAGATAACATTATAATATTTGCTAGAAAGCATAAACCTTTCGTGTTTTTACAAAGAACGGATGAACACCGGTCGCAAGAATCGCTTCCAATTCCGGAATGGTGTCCAGGCAGCTTTTTAAGAGTAGCGCATAATTTAAATTTCGTTCCGCATTTTGCATGTCGTTGACGTGCAGAGGTTTAATCGCCAACATCAATAAACGATCCGTACCGAACAAGCGTTGTACCACCGGCTATGAACAGACGTTACAGATATGGTAAAATTGTTGGTTTAAATGTAAAAAGTTGAAATTATTATAGCATTCATATAGTATTCATTCCAATCTTGTTCAAGATCATTTTAAACCTGATTATGGGCGATCTTAAAATTCCATCCAGTTAATTCCGTTAATGAAATTACCGTACACTGCTTCAAAATCGTATTTAAGATACTGAGAAATGTGTAAGTATATGTAATACGTGTGCGTAATATTTATAGCTATAATTGCATGATAAAATAATTATGTCTATAATAATGTTTATAGTTCTACTGATTATGAAATATTGCACTTTGAATTGTACTCTAATTTGAAATATTAATATATTAAAATATCAAGATATGAATGATAAATATCTTTATATAATAAATGCAATCGCAAATATTTTCTTATGCGTACTATTTAATAATTAATAATTAATAGAGGAAAGCCCCCTATTATGAGATAGGCGCCTAATATGAGATAGCAGCGTTTCTGCTAAACTAATAAACGCTATCTATTGGTTCCACCATGAATTTATTCTTGGTGAAAAACTATTTCGTGGAAAAAATTCATTATTAGATTATGCCTATAATATATTATTGTAAAACAAGATTTTAGAATTTAGACATTTTCAAGTTTCATTGAGATGAGCATTTAAACCTTGTTTACTATTTAATAAATAAATATTTGGTAATAAATTCTTCACGTAGTGATAGAGTAAGGTCGTACTAGCAAAATACGGAATATGTTGAATTGTTTAATTACAGAAGTTAGATTTGATGATCGTAAAATCATAAGACGTGGAAATCGTAATATGAAATAATGTAATATGAGATAGGGTATTTCTCATATAAAATAATCCATGCTGCTATGTTATAGTGAAAATTGTTGCTAAAGTATAAATGTTATTGTACAATAATAAAAAAGACAACCAGAATGAACGTCGAGTGCTTATATCTGCGATGCTTGATTCCAACTACCTGAAAACGAGTTCTGGGTATAATCTATCGCATGCTCATTTTTCGTGCACGCTGGCTGTGTTTGTTTGTATTTTAGAAACAGTAAATAAAGTTTTTTTTTTTTTAATTACAATACTGATATACTTTGCGTTTTACTATCGATTTCTCGGAGATCTCATATTAGGAGCACAGTTTTTAACTTTGCGATTTGTTCACTTTTTACATTCCTTTAATTTAAAAAAAATTGGAACTTGAATTAAATTTTATGTAACGTTATCTTAAAGCTTATTAAATTCCCTTCAAAATGACCTTATTATTTTTTTGAATTCTGCCTGTAGACATCTAGCATTTATTCAAAATGAACTCGATATCTCAAATAGAGGCCTTTCCTCTAATAACTAAAAAATGTGTAAAAGAAAAAAATAGTAATATACTTGAAATAGCTATAATATAATGTATAATCGGCATGGTTAAAGAGTATAAATATATTAAAGAAATATATTGATACCAAAATTAACTAAAATAAGAACAAACTACGGATACCGCCCTAAATGTCAGTCTAAGTAAGTCACATGTGACAACCTGAAGACTAGTGCACAGAGAATAATTTGCCACTAATTCCGCTACGCAAGATTGTCGATAGGCGATTAAACACTCGTCGCACGAAGGCTGAAGAATGGAAGCGCGCAGGAGTCTTCTGCCCATGGGGGTCAAGCAGCGGTTCATCGTACCCAGCAAACTCACGATGGACTGCTTGGACTGCGAGACGACCAGTTCGAGACTTCGTGCACTCTCTATATCTGCACAATATCAATTGCAATTATCACCCTACACCCACCGTTTTCGTACGAGACTAGGATTCGAATTAATAGTTTACCGATCATTGTGGTATTCGGTGATCCTTGAAACTCTATCCTCATCGATTTCGGAGCGTAAACCATATGTTGAATGTACTCCACATATTTCAGCAATGCCGCAGCAGCAGCTAAAGCGTAATACCTACGATCGAAACAGATAGCCGCACCGATATTCATAGTTGATTGTTATCTTAAGAATATCTTAAGTAATGTCTTAAAATGTTGATACAGCTCTGTGATTGGCTTATATCTTTAAAATTGTACCATCTTAAATATAAGAACCTATTATGAATAGCGGACATAATCGGCGCTTTATAATTAACTCTTTATTACTCGCGTGGAGTGTCCAGGATATTCCTGGATACTTATAAATTCGCTTAATGTATAAATACTATTTATACTGCACATTATTATATACAGCGCAAATTTCTTTTACAATTAAAAATGATTTTACATTTAACTTTATTTATAAAGACTGCATAAAATATTATTAATCTTTATTTAATGTATTTAATTTAATGTATTATTGTAAAGTATCAAAGAGCACGATGAAAATTTTAAAACATAATTGAAATATCAAAAATATTCCGCGTGCGCGAGTAATTATACGTTAAAAAAAACTAGACGAGTAATGTAGAATTAATTGGAATTAATCTTGATTAGCGTTACTTTTGCTTTACTATTAGCTCCACGGTTGAATATTCCCTGGCGCATAGAGTTCGCACGCGTTCCATACCGGTGGACTCGTTGAAGTGTATTCGCGAAATCGGCGTGATGTTGAGTGCATGAAATTTCTCTCTGATCGATCTGTACAATTTGTTCCCACGACCACGATGTTCGCACATCGTTTCCGGTATTAGTATCTTAAAAATATAACAAAAGAAAAAAATTGCATGACGAGGATATAACTCCCATGAAAAATATTATTTCTTCTATCGGATTAATGATCCCTTTAATTCATTTAATTTATTTATCTTCTAAAATTAAAAAAGCTTCATCCAAACGTGCTCACTTCTATCGGATCGACAACGTTGATTTTCGTCAGAGTATTCACATATGTTTGACAATCGCTGATCTGACAGAGAATCAAGTATGGGTATTGAAGATCTATTGCTGCCAAACCGACTTCGTTCCTGGCATCTCCTCGGCCGGCAGTTAACGCTATGAATAAGGCAGAGTAAGTTATTTGCATTATTTATTATTTTACATTCACTCACCAATCACTACGCAGGATTCCGCGTTGCTGGACGTGCCGAATGGCGTCGTAGCCGATTTCGTAGGATTAATCGAGCTAATAGATATCGAGACATTATATTTTGTAATAAAAAAATATCAGGAAAATAGGATTATACAAGGTGATTTTATAAATTGGACGTTTCTTGGATAATTGAGTTGTGTGGGCAAAAATGAAAGAAAAATAGTGTTATTTTTTTCATAGATACAAGGATGACTCTGTAGAAAAAAAATGTAGATATGTACCTTTTTTTAATGAGAAATATAACTTTTTTATATAAATCGATTTATTCTTCTATCATGTAGTAGGTATTAGGCACCGTTGAAAAATTTATGTCAAATTTAACTCATTTCATATATTCTAAATTATTTAAATAACATAATCACATTAAATTAATACTCGAATACGTGAAAAAAATTTAACACAAAATGTTAGGACTTGAATGGTCTGTTTCTATCACAAATACGAAATATTTTTACTGTGTGAGAATAAAAATGAAATTATCTCTAAAAGCCAATAATTAACAGAGAAAAATTTTGTTTTGATATGTCAATTGACAAATATATTATGATATCTCTATTATAATTGTATTGTAATTTTTTCTCTCTTCAATTATAACATAATGTCTAAAAATATCAAGATAAAATATAATATTTTTATATATTTGTCACTGAACATATTAAAATAAAACACATTTCTTTTCTTAATAATTATTAGTTTAGATAATTATTTATCTTCAATCATATTGTGTGTGTATAAGAATACCAAGAAGTTAAAAATCATTCGTCAAGAGAAAAGAAATATTAGTTTTGACGCGTTCCTTGACAAAATTGTAGAATCAGCTTCTTTGTAAAAAGAGACTTATAGGCACGAGATTTATAGCTCACTCTACACTACGGCGAGAAGTGGTCGGCAAATAGGACGACGTAGAGACGTAGTTTTCTCTGCGATTATGCCTTGGCGTCTTTGCATTGGGATTTGCGGGTCCAGAATTCGCCGGTGGTCTCAGAAAACCCGAGTCGAATTCTACATCCGTAGAAATAGTACATCCATGACAAATCAAGTTTCGAATGGCAAGATGGAGAACGTAGCCAGATTAAAAATAAAAATGTGTTGACATTTAAAAATTGACGAAAAATTGTGATCACGGACCTCACTCAATTGACCTTTAGAAATGAAGCATGTAAATTCCCGTAACGATAATCGTTAACAATTTTGTTGAAATTTTTCTTAATTGAATTACATTTTGTCTTAATTGAACTGGAAAATGTTTTTTAATTTACAAAAAAATATTAAGCATCAAGATCCGCTTGACTGAATAAAATCTTTTTCACTTATTTATATTAATTAAATTAATTCAATTCAAAAGGGTATTACTTCAATTAAAATATTCTCGCTTTTAATACCATTTTATGATCACTTTTTAGGATTTTTTTTTTATTATAACAGCCATAAACTTGAAATTGGTTACATTTATTCTTCGATATTTGAATGTTCTTTACAAATTTCTTCAAACATTATAAACGATTTGATATTTATTAACAAATTTATACATGTAAAAAATATTCAAATATCGAAGAATAAATGTAACAATAAATTTCAAATTTATGATTGTTATATTTAAAAAAAAAATTTCCTAAAAAAGTGATTATAAATAATACTAAAGTGAAAAGAATACTCTCTTAATTTTTCTGAATGTAAATCGGTATATCATGGAAATGAGATGTACATTAAGTTTTTAGTAGTGATATGATGCTTACGATATTTCGGAAAGATATTCGTGGCGCGTTGCGCATTCGATATTGAAACGATTCTGCCTCTCGCATAAGCACGCCGTCCTCTCGGCGGAGCGGCTTGTATCACATTCATTTTGTTCAGCGAGGAGGCGAACTGGTTCTATAGAATATTTTAAAGATCTTGCAGCTTGCCGTATAAATTTTAATAGATCTCTATGTAGTAGTACAGTATTAAACTCAAAGGTCGAAAAAATTCAGCTGCAAAGAACAACACTCTTTCGTCGCTTATTCTTTCGAGAATCACCTGAATGTATCTTCTCATAATCATGTGATAAATACAGCCAATCAAATCCTTCGAAATATCGCTTGAAGTTTAACCTGGTTTAACCTCCTATAACGCCGTGTTATTTATTTGAATTCTTATGTGTCTATATTCATATATCTATATTTTTTAAGTCTTAATTTTTTCAACATAACTAAGTAATATGTTTGTATACTATTCTTTCATAACTAAAAAGTCTGTTTATAGCGGTTTAAAAAAAAAAATCTTTCCCAACAAGAAGAAACGAAGCAAAATATCTAGGTGTAAAAGTATTCCTAAAATAAAATATTCAAAATGTAGTATATATCATTGTTTAACTTTAAACTGTTTTGTTACTTTTACTAAAAATGTTATATATATGCCACGTAATAGCTAAAGTTTTTATAGCTAAAGTTATAACAATGATTTATATACGTATACAGTGTTGTACACCATCATCCATTTACTTCCAAAGTTAAACAAAGTATAAACAAGTATAAACAAATCATTTTTTTATAATAGAATGTTAAAGAATTTAAAATTAATTATTAATTCATATTTCAAAATCAATATTTACAATGTTGCATATCTGTATGCAACTTCTTCAATTATAGATACAACTTTTTTCAAATACAAAAAATGTTGAGCGTTAGAGAGATAACATAATTGACTTAAATTATATACAGAAGAAGACAAGGAAACACTTAAAAGCTATCTCTCAATCTCATAGTAATATATTTATTTACAATTTCGTGTTCTTTTAAGAATTTACGATGAACATATTATTCACTTGGGTTAATAATAAATAACACGATCACAATCATTATATCCCTCTCGAAATAAATTATCGCTCTTTTTATCGTCATCTCTTAGAATTTAGTTACATTTGTATTTACATGCATAATCAAATCGATTGTCTTCGGCTACTTTATTTCTCTTCGGATTTCTCAATTCGCGCGACAGTAACTGGTATTACGTAAAGTTGTTTAAACGCCTCGCTCCGGACAGACGAAGAGATAACACGTGATGTACGGTAGTTCGCGAAAAAAAATTTAGCTGTACGTATTTACAGATTAAATCTTCTAACACATAAACTTAACGTATAACATATTGCGCCGATCCCGAGTGAATTCTACATTTATATTAAGGTTAAAATTAATCGCGATTAATATGTCGCGTATACAGAGACTTCTCTATAATTCGCAGATATCGTACAAGAAAAAAGATTTATTAACAGCATAACTAACTAGTTGAAGATAATTATGTTAATTCAATATTAATAATAAAACACACATCGTGTTTTAATAAAATATTATGTTTTATTAAGACTCTTGGAGTATTTAATCTTAGCCATATTGAATCTTGACATCATAAGCGAACGACATTTTTCGTTTGACGTCATGATTCAATAAGGTTGTTTTCAATTAGATGCTGTTAATTAATGCTGTTAATACATTTTTTTTCGTGTATCAGTGATCGAAATTTCTCGTTTGATATTCGCTTATCGATAGCTTGGATGCGACGCGGCGCGCTAAACGCAAATTACAAAGGTAAGATAAAGGCAAAAAGTTTTGCATAGTATATAGTTCTCGGGGTACAAATAATGCAACACTAACGATCCACACAAGAGACCCAAGCATCTGAGATATTGAGTAAACTATCTTACGGCGATACAAGCAATACACATACGTTTTGCACCGATTAACGTGTCATCCTCGTAACGGTGCACAATGGGAAATCTGGCCGATCTAGGAAAACGGTCGAGAATTCTAACAGATTCGCGTAGGAATTCTCATCGTTGTTTACCTTAAAACGGGCAGATTCCGCATTGTGCGAGGCACCGAATGTATATTATAATTGACGGCACCGTTCGCGCCTTGCCTTTTACTGTATTAATAAAATTTACAATGACGCAACAGCAGCAGAGTACAGGACTGATCGTTAATATCGATCACAATGCACATAGAAAATAGGTTTTTCACGCGCTCGTGTAAATCTCTGCATGCACGCACGCATGCACGCAACACAACCGTAGTACGCGTAACGATATGTGTACGTACATCGACGTACAGGCGCGCGATCAATTAAGTTTTTATCACATTGTAGACTTTTCATCGGAGAGCTTACGTAAAAAAAGTTTCTTAACGCTATGGATGCTACTTTTTAAAGAACTTTCAAGTATACCGATCGCTCGCGACTACATGTCGTGCAAAGTCGGCAATTATAAGCCTACAAAACGCATGCACGATCATTATTTTTATCTTAATGATCACCTTTGTCATATCTGCGTTAAAAATAGTGCATTCTCGCGTATAGCCAATAATCCGCACACAAGGATCGAGCTAGTTTTGCACGCAAATAGAACATCTGCAATATGATTATTAAGTGATTATTAAAATATAAATTTAAAGACGTAAAATATATATAGTCAGTTACCTTACTATAGTTAATGCTTAATCGAATCAGCTCGCATTATACATCGTATGTACAAAAAAATGTCACAATCACAATTCACAAGTAAAAGATAATGTGTATACATATGTATTTATATTTACCTATATATTTATATATAAAATTGACACAATGCAGATACCACATGCAATATATAATCACTAAATAACTTTCTTACGTTGCCTCAATGTAGATTAGCTTCATTTTTGCTATCCGCAGATCAGTAAAATGTGTTTTATCTTTTTCTTTAAAGAGAAATAATCTAATAGTTTCTGGCTCGATAAGCCAGAACGATTTTTCGATCATTTCGAATGATTTCATATTAAACGTTACACTCAATTAAATATTAAAACATTGTAGTGCAGAGAACGTGGAGATAGATATTTTCTCCTTTATCTAATCCATCTAGCCGTCATAATGAATCTTCGATATTATCATTCGATTAACGATTAACGAGAAATGATTCATAGAATGATAGATTTTTGGCACACTGGCGATTAATGAATGTCAGCGTTTCCGGCGAACAAAGATGCGATCCAATTATTATGGAGTATATAAAAATCTGATATAATTCCGTTTATATATAATATAAATCGGTAGAAGTATATTAAAAATGATGGCAGGTAGATATAGATATGACAACAGCACC